CTTTATTTAAATCTTGTGTATAATATTACAGTCCCTAAATATGTGGAAATGGTCTGCCAATACAATTTCACATTTTCTCCAGCATTCACCATTTTTTGATCTCCCCTTTGAAAGTATTTTATTTTACGTGAAATAAAAAACCTGATAACATTTCTCCAAATAAATCCCCTCCATTAATCGGAATTAATTGTGATCATTTGTGTTTCCCAAAGAGTCAATCATTCCTCATTTGTTAGTATTAATTTGGCTACCCTTTCCCGTTTATGTTTTGTATACATTATTGAGTGTTTCTTTGTTAATGTCAGACAGGAATAAAGTCTTGATACTAGTTTTTTTATTAACCTTCTTTTTGTAAGCATCTATAAATACCTGCACTACTGTTGTTTTTATGTCTTCAGAATCTCTTATGCTTTTATTGAAGTAGTGTCTAACGTGAAGGTAATGGAAAAAGTCTTGTTTATCTAAGTTATATATATTGGAAAGTTGTTGAAAACTTTCTAATTCATTATCAGTAGTGTTGAGACAGAAGGATGTTATGGCCTACAAACTCCATTGTTTAAATCTTAGATCTAGTTTTGCTGGTTTAAATTGAATATCATGTTCAACCCCTCTTAATATCTTAGCTTGTTTTTCACATTTAGGATTCTTTAATTCTTTGTACCAAATTTCTAAAGAGCTCTTTGTCAGGGAAGTTAGTTTATGCAATTCTGTATGTTAGAAGTTTCTATCTCCTAATAATTATTGGAGAGGTAAGTGGATTAGTAATTGTTCAAATTCTTTCCACTTTGCACAGTATTTGTCATTGCACCAACAAACTATGTGTCTAAGCTGTGCTGCCTTACAACAAACATCTAATGATGTTTTCCGTTCCAAATGAAGCGAGACACTAGTTTTTTCCATTCATCAAATTGGCTTTTTGGTTTCTCCACTGGTAAAGCTTTAAAGAGAAAAAGTGGGCATGGTAATATATTCATCTTTATTATCTCTATTCGATTATATAGATCTAAAGATAGAAGGGGCCATCTGTTCAAATCCTTTATTATAGTTTCTGTAATGGGAAAGTCATTTATTTTTATAGATATCTGATAGGTCTGCAGAGATTTGAACTCCCAAGATATCTGATAGAAGGTATGATCCATTTAAATGCATAATCCTTGTGTATTTTATCATCTGGGTTATAGTTGCATTAAAGAGTTTGTGTTTTAAGTAAATTGAATCTATATCCTGAATGTAATCCAAATTTGTCAAGAGAATGCATCACCTTAGGTGAACTAAATTCTGGGTATGTAAGAAACAGAAACACATCATCAGCATATAAACAAATTTTATGTTCTACATCTTTAATTTTCACTCCCCTTATTTCTGCATAATCTCTGATTAGTTGTGCCAATGGTATAACAAATAATGCAAATAAGGAAGGACTTAATGGGCACCCTTGTCGACATCCTCTAATATAATATGTTCTGAAAATATCCACAGTTATTTTAATTCTAGCTGTAGGAGTTTAATATAAAGATTTAAAAAATGTTTAGTGTCATTCTCAAATCCAAATCGTTGCAGAACTAAATATAAAAAATCCCAACTCATCGAAAGCTTCTTCTGCGTCTAGGCTACTCAGAAGAGTGCTAATCTTGTTTTGAGCTATATAATCTAATACGTGAAGGGCTCGCCATATATTATCATATGTTTGTCTTTGTTTTATAAAACCTGTTTGATAAGTATCTATTAGGTCTGAAAGAATATCCTATAATCGTTTAGCTAATATAGATGCATAGGGCCCTATCATACTCCCGGCGTAATGTGGCACAAGACGCCAAGCAATTGCTATTTGCTACTTTCACCTCGGCGCAAGGGTCATTTTGAGGCATTGCGCCACACTGTTTAAATAGCAAATGCATTTGCGCTCGTATGTGCGCCTATAGGCATTCTGGTCTAAAAAAGCAGGCGTGTTTTGGCGCGTTGCTATTTGGAGAAACTGTAAATAGTCTGTTCTTTAGATCAGAACAAAGTTGGTCTATTGTTTGGCGCAAAGTGTGCCTGGCTTACACACTACACACAAGATGCAGACCAATACGCAAATATCATTACATATGAAAAAGATATTAAGGATATATATATATATATATATATATATATATATATATATATATATATATATATATATAGGATATAAATATAAATGATTAAATTATTACAAAACATATTAATTTCTAGCCTACATATATTTTAAAAACCACTGCCTTCATACTTTCTTCATCTCGAGAGGCTTTTTCAGTTCATTTAATTTGCTTTTGTATAATGTTATTATTATTAGCAGTATTATTTATTATATCCATATTTATATTTGTTTGATTAAAAACAAGCTTAGATTTGTCCACCTGTCAGGTTTTAGGTCGTATGGGGCACAGCAGGTGTATTTGGAAATAACTCAGTTTTTTGAACACACTTGATTATCAATGTTAATTTATTCGTTTGCTGGAAATTAGAACTGAATTTAGAAATAGTTTTAAAACAAATTTTTGCGCTTAACAAACAAAATGAATTATTTATAGGCTAATTGATGTCTGAGCGTAAAGGTTTCCCTATCCACGAGAGCAAAAGCGAAAGTGAACTTACTTTACGTTATGTAAATAGCAAATGCGCTCATGACGCGACGCAACTGGCTCTTAAAGGTAATGGGAGATGAGTCGCTGATTGGTTTATTCTCAAAACACACCTATAACTCATTAAGAAAATAAAATCAACCCTTTTAGACCATGCGCCATGGCGCAAAAACGGATTTTCCCATCCTTAAATTAGCAAGTATGGATTCCGACACGCCCTCAAATATTTTATTGAGTTCCACTTTAACTTCTTTGATATTATTAAAAATATCTGGATATTTACCATATTTAGTCTCTAAATCTTCAAGTTGTATATTTAGATTATTTATGCAATTCCATTTTTTTCTTGATCCCCACATTATAAGTTTACCATGCATAACAGCTTTAGCTGCGTCCCATCGATACTAGGTGACACCTCTGCATTATTATTATTATGTTTTAAATATTCTAATAGTTCTTTTTAAACATATTCTACACACGTTAAATCATTCAAATGATTGTTTAAATTGCCAAAATGTCTTACTTGGTTTATTGTCCAGGTACACTCTTAAACATACTCCTGCATGGTCTGAGATGTCCCTTGTTCCAATTTTAGTCTTTTATTTTATGTTGATCTGACCCAAACATAAAAAAACAAAAAAAAAACAATTCTAGAATGAGACATGTGGGCAGAAGAGAAGAAAGTATATTCCTTTTTTAAGAGGAAATATGTCTCTTCATACATCTATCGAGCCTAATTATTTCATCAAATATCTTATTTGTCTAGTTTCTTGACTAATTTGCTTATTAGAAGATGAGTCCAATTTAGGCTGAAGTTGTACATTCCAGTCTCCCCCACAGATCAACGTACCTGATGTCTCCTTGGCTATAACACTTAATATTTTTTTGAAAAATGCTTTGTCTTTTTCAGGTGGTCTATAACTAATGTAACTTTGTATTGGTCGATAGTTTCTTTAATTAGGTTATATCGCCTTTCTTTATCAGTAATCTTAGAAATTAATTGGAAGTTGATTTTATTTGAGATTAATGTCATTACTCCTCGTTTACGACCAATATTATTTGAGGGAAAAAAAAAAACTAAATCCCATTGTTTCTGATTTCCTATGTTCTGTACCAGAAAGATGCGTCTCTTGCCAGAAGATTATCTGTTGGTTTTCTCTTTTAATTTTAGCCACAGGTTTGCTTCTTTTAATCGGATTTAGTAACCCATTAATATTCAAAGTAATTACTCTATATTTCTGTTTTTGCATAATCAGATGTTTTTGCGAAGATCACTGTGATCGGAACATGAAAAACACAAACATGAATATCTTGAACCACATAAAAAAACATTACGAAAAAGATCTCCAAACCTTGAAGTCTTAAATAACTTCTTAATGTGAGGGGAAAGCCTTCCTTCTCTAAAAAGCCCTTCCTTGCCGTGCCTATTGTTATTTAAATATGGTTTAGGTTATCATATATGACGTAAAAAGGAAGATTAATACCAGTGTGTATAGGAGCTCTCTTTCTCAGCTTCTTAAGCTGCCCCGAATGAGTGAAACTCTAGGTTTGGGTATCGTTTGGTTTTTCGATACCGGTGCTAAATTGATACTTTTAAAACGATACCGGTGCCAAAACGGTGCCTGAATCAACACTTTTTAGCCACAAAATGATGGTGGACGACTCTTCAAAAATATTTTATTTGACAAATGATTTTTTTCAAAATAATTTTAATAGAACAATATAATTACAGTTTAAAGTAAACATCAGTTAATATTGTATTACATTAATACATTTCATTTGATCATTTGTTGGTTAGCATGAATTTAAAATTTGCATTATGAAATTACATTAGCTTACTATTAACCTGTGGGGGGCGGGCAGGGGCCACATACTTTTAGGAGCACATTTTAACATGTATATATCACAAAATACTTAAAACATTATTGGAAGTCATTTGTTTTCATCCATCACTCTGCAGTCTTCATAAACAAGATAATTAAATAACTTAAACTCAAAATAATCTTCCTTGTTCAATTATTTGACAAGTAACATTGTACTGGTGTAGGAGAACACATTTCTAACATTCAAGTACATCAAGGCACATTGTTGCACCTGTAAACTTTAACAGGCCTACAGTTGAAGTCGATTCATTTTGCCCTCCCATTCATTTAAAATAATGTTTTTGAAAACTTTTAGTGTTTCCTAAAACATAAATATTCTGGAGTCATAATAAGTCCTATTTCTTATTGTTTATTTCATGAATAAAAGCCGTTTGTAATAAAAATAAATAAATAAAAATAAGGTCAGTATTATTAGCCTCCTTAAGAAATATTTACTATATATTTTTGATTTACACAACAAATCAGTTACAAAATAATTTGACTAATTATTTTAACTTTCGTAGTGAACTGATAAGTCTAAATTACACTTTAATCTAAATAAAAGACTATAAAATACTTAAAAAGACTTTGTCTGAATACTGTCTTGCAAAATAACTAGTAAAATGTTCTGCACTGACTGTCAGCATAAAAAAGTAGCGTTAGATATTAGAAACGAGTCAGTTAAACTATTGTGTTTAAAAATGTGTTGTAAATAAATCATGTGTTCAAGACAGAAATCAAAAATGAATGAAGTCAAAACTAAACGAGTTGAATATTAAATGTTTAGTGATGCTGTGACAACACCTATATGTGCCTTTTTTCATGCAACCCTCACGTCCATGCCGCAGCACCGAAATTCATACGCTGATTTAATACCGGTGCATACCGGTTACCATGGTACCGGTGCTATAATGGCACCGGGTTTCGGTAACAAACCCTAGAACACACTGATCATGTCTACAGTTTATCTCCAGCGTGAATCCTCTCATGTGTTTTCAGGGTTTCTGAGCGAGTAAACCTCTTACTGCAATGTGAACACTTGTACGGTTTATCTCCAGTGTGAATCCTCTGGTGCCGTTTCAAATCTGCAGCTGTAATAAAAGTCTTCTCACACTCCAAGCACATATACTCTCTCACACCAGTGTGGATTTTCATGTGTTGTTTAAGGTGTGATGATGTGCTGAAACTCTTCCCACATTGAGAGCATGTGAATGGTTTCTCTCCAGTGTGGATCCTCATGTGTAGATTAAGATTTGATGAGTGGATGAAACTCTTCCCACACTGAGGGCATGTGAATGGTTTCTCTCCAGTGTGGATCATGATGTGTTGATTAAGGGATGATGAGTGGCTGAAACTCTTCCCACACTGAGTGCAAGTGAATGGTTTTTCTCCGGTATGGATCCTCATATGTCTATAAAGCGACGAAGATTTGCTGAAACTCTTCCCACACTGAGTGCATGTGAATGGTTTTTCTCCAGTGTGGATCATCATGTGCTTTTTAAGGTGTGATGAGCAGTTAAAACTCTTCCCACACTGAGCGCATGTGAATGGTTTCTCTCCAGTGTGGATCCTTATGTGTTTTTTGAGGTATGATGAATCGTAGAAACTCTTCCCACACTGAGTGCATGTAAATGGTTTTTCTCCGGTGTGGATCTTCATGTGTTTATAAAGCGACGATGATTTGCTAAAACTCTTCCCACACTGAGGGCATGTTAATGGTTTCTCTCCAGTGTGGATCCTCATGTGTAGATTAAGGAATGATGAGTGGTTGAAACTCTTCCCACAATGAGTGCAAGTCAATGGTTTTTCTCCAGTGTGGATCTTCATGTGTCTATAAAGCGACGATGATTTGCTAAAACTCTTCCCACACTGAGTGCATGTGAATGGTTTCTCTCCAGTGTGGATTCTCATGTGTTGATTAAGAGATGATGAGTGGCTGAAACTCTTCCCACACTGAGTGCATGTGAATGGTTTCTCTCCAGTGTGGATCCTCATGTGAGTCTTTAATTTGCTTTTGCTTGCCAAACTCTTTCCACACTGAGTGCAGGTAAAACAACTCTTGTCTCTCACTTTTAACACACCATCAGTCTCTAAATGAGTTTTGTCCTCAATTTTGACATGATGTTCCTCCTCTTTACTCTCCTCGTAGTCTTTAATTAGGTCTGAAATAGAAATAAGTTTACTTTTTAGTAAATCATAAAACTCAGTGAAAAGGAAGTGAAAACATTGGCTACACAAATCTTAATTTTGATGCACATTAAATGTAAAGACAAAGCAGATCATATTTAGATTGATCTTGTCATATTAACCTCCTGTCCATTACACAGATACACATTTAAGCAGATTCTTATATGATTATTCCCAGATTAATTTTTGTCATATTGATGAGACATAAATTTGAAAGCTGTAAATGGCCAGTTTCTATTTGTATATATTCATAATCACAACAAAACAATTTGTTTTTGTAAAACTTGTAAAGCCAATAGGGAATGCTTTTTCATTCTGTGCCTGACTGGTAAACCTGTTAGAACAAACAGCTGAATCTCTGCTAATATTTGCCTCATAGACATATATGACACATGTATAATATCTGCATAAAGCTTTAAATCTGCACCTTTAAATGACAAATGTTCTAGAGGTATGTAATCTGTAACAAATGCAAAGCAGAAATCTAACACTTAACTGTTTCAGATCATCAAACAAATGTAAATATTAGTCAAAGATAACACAATTAAACACATTGTGCAGTTTTTAAATCAAGTTTTTTATTCTTAAATTGAAGACAAAATACTGAACTACACTGACTTGTGTGAAAAAAGAAATTCCCATTAGAACAATTTTAATTTATCACACCTGCTTCAAGTTCTCTAGCCACACCCAGACCTGATTACTACCACACACGTTCGCAATCAAGAAATCACCTAAATAGGACCTGTCTGACAAAGTGAAGTAGACCAAAAAAAGCCTCAAAGCTAGATATCATGCCAAAATCTAAAGACCTTTAAACACAAATGAGAAAGAAAATACCTGTCACAAGTAAAAAAAAAAAAAAAAAAAAAAGAGTGAGCTCAAATGCAAGTCTTTATTGAGAAGCGAGTCTTGGAAAAAGCAAAAGTCAAAGTAAACACCCGGTCGGGTGAGCGCTGAGGAAGTGCCGTAGGAAAAAACAACCAGACACTCACTCACTGGTGGTCTTGGAAACATACAGGGTGAGTAACAAAATAATATGCACACAAATGATCGATAACATACTGACAAACATGAAGGGAAATGATGTGGTATAAACAGGAAAAAAGGGAAACAAGAGCTTCAAAGCCCCTTTCACACAGTGATACCGGTAAATATGCAGAAAATTTCCGGAACGACTTTACCGGTATATTCAAAAAAGCGCTGTTCACACAGGCGAGGACGTTATGGAAATTTTCCAGAAAAGACCTTTCACAAATCCATTCCAAAATACCAGTAAATTCTGACATCATTCACCACAAATGAGCCTTAAACGGCTGCGCTTGTATTTGTAAACATTTGACTACATTACAAACTCTGTGGATGACCAGTATTGTGAACAACTTCGAAGAAAACATATGGAGGATCACTTTGGCATGTCGAGATATTCATAATATGTGCGTGTGCTGGCGCTCACAGGCTGTTTCACAGGCACACGCAAAGCGTGAAGGTAAACAAACAGCGGCTTATCATAAGCATCTCATCGATGATTATTTACACAGTTGGCATTAAGAAGAACATATAAACATTATCTGACTAACTTCTAACTAAATGCGTCTGACTGTTCTGATTGGCTAAAGCAGGTGTCTCACGTCAGCACGTTCTAGACGTGCACGCGTTCTTTCCGGCAATCTTCCTTCTGCATTCACACAGCGCAGCATTCCGGCAAATTACCGGGAATGTTACAACTTCTCTTTCTGGAAAATAGCCAGAACGAATTTACCGGTATTTTTAAAAAGGACCTGTTCACACATACAACCTTTCCAGAAAATTGCCGGTAATTTTCCGGAAAGGTCTGCATGTGTGAAAGGGGCTCAAGAGAAGAGAGCCAAAGAGTAAGGTATCAAAGGAGGATGTCACATCAAAGATTCAAGCGTTACCACTCAGTGGGTTATGTCACAAGACTCGCGTCACTTTATTGTGGCTTTGAGGCTCAATGGGATTCTAATTACTGGCCAAAGTTATATAAAATCACACTTTATTACAATATATATGTAGAATATAAATAATTATAATATGTATTATATAATATTAAATTAAATTACATGGGGGCCATGGGGGGTGGTTCGTTTGAACAACCCGAAACCCCCTGGCTACGGGCATGGCACAGTGATCTGTGTCATTACAATGGCTTTTCCCACAGCTGGTGGAGAACACGAGAGTTCGGTTTGAGTTCAGTGTAGTGCATACATTTTCATTGTTTTCACTGTAAAATCCTCACTGCGTGTGCAGATTTAGGAGACATTTTTGCAGAATGCATCTTTGCACCTAAAAACGTCAAACGCAGCACTCAGGAACAGATTAAAACAGTTGTTATGTGAACTCGAAGTAAAAAAGTCTGCAATGCTAGCCCCGCCTTTGTACTCTACTTATTGGCTCACTGCTCTACAACTGAATGTAAATGATTGGTTAATATCAGCTGTCAATCACTCAGTCAATGCCTTCTGCCTTCAGATGATAGGAGCTACAACTGCGAAAATGTGAAGCGCTGAAGATGAAAGAATGAAAATAACAGACATTTACCTAAAGTTATTAATAACGGCGCATCTGTTTAGTGATCATGTGCTGAATGTTAATCCACCATTTACACTTTTCCAAGAGTGGATAAAAGACTTCTAGTGGCTTCAAGCAAATAATAAGTTATATATCAATATAAATGTGGGGCAGGGCGATGGATCGTGATGCCGGCTAAGCATCGTGAAGTTTGTCGGCCATCAGCGATGGACAATGTCATGTAAAAAAATAATACAATTGATCAGCTACAATCAACATCATCTTCCGAAGAGCTTCATAAGAAAATACTTATTCTGCAAGCGGAATGACTCCTTGAGGATCTCCACATAAGATCACGCCAGATTCATTATGAACATGGTGAATGAGCTGGCAGGTTATTGTGTTACTAACTGAAAAAATCCTCAGCAGCTGGTGTTATAGCAGCAGTTAGTAAGGATGATGGCAGTATTATTACTGATAAACAGGGTATTAGTGATCAATTTAAAAAACTTCTATAAAACTCTTTACAACTCTGAGGTAAACTAAATTGAATGTATTGAGAGCTTTTTTATTTATTAAGAACTACCATACCTCTGTGATTCAGATCAGTTGACAAAAGAAGGAATTTTAACGTTTGTCCTTTTCTTTCTGAATGTGTCACAGAATGTGTCCCGCGTTTGTCAGCTTCTCACAGGATCGGGTTTCCAAAGCTTGTCAATAATCAATCGCATGTTATTATTATCAGCTCAAGAAGTTTGTTATTTCAAATAGAGACGCGTGGCGAGCGTAAGGAAGAAAGCGAAACCACTCGGGCTTCAGACCGGCTCGTAAAAAACTACGCTACACAGGGTAAATCTGCTCTTCTCCATGGCTTTGTGGCTGTTTATCAAGACGACGACAGGGTTTGTTTGAGCCTGGATCGACCATGGCTGCATATGTATATAATTCCGCTGTAATCTCTCGCTGTGTATTTCAAACATGGCGGGTCCTTTGTTAAGATTCTGGCTTGTGTCTACGAATGATGTATCTCTGTAAACCAATACCGTTCAGCTGCACATCAAGCTCTGCCATTTAGGGCCTACTCACACTATGCCATCCGTACCATGCCCAGGCCCGTTTCCCGGATCGTTTGAGTAGTGTGAGTGCGGTGAATCGGGCTCAAGCACGGTTCACTTGGCTGGCCCTGGCCCGGTTGGAAGAGGTGTGCCCTAGCGCGGTTCACTTGGGCTTTGGCACGGTACGCTTGTGTGTGAGTGCAAAACGCGCCAAAGCCCGAAACTGAAAGCGAGATGTGACTTTTAAGGGGCTGTTACATATGGATTTATTAATCATTCTTACTGTTCAGTGAACGCAAACTGCCGTAGTTTATTACAGACGAGAACTCCTCGAAGCACGACAGCTGCGTGGCTTCAGCAGACCTCCTCATTCCTGCAGCACGAGAGCTTTATGATTGTTTATGAGCGCCAAAAGTGGCGAATCTGTTTGGCGAAATATCTGACTGTGTGTCACCGCATCCCTAAGGACTGTTTGGCGAAATATTCGACTGCATGTCACTGCATAACTAACGACTGAAACGATATAACTAGAGAAATCTCCACTGTGCTGTTGAGTGAGAGAGCGCTTCTCACTGAACAGCGCAGCAGCGATGACGTAAGTGTGCCGAGGCCTGTTTGTGGTGTGAGTGCGGGCCGTCGGGGGAGACGGGAGGGGGACAAGCGCTTTGGCCCGGTTCGAGGCAGCTGTATCTAGTGTGAGTACGGCCTTAGTGTTTGGGACCTTTTCGAAAGGGTGCCAAAAAAGTGGTATGGTACGGTTTGGTTCGGTACGCCTTTTGACAGTGGAAACGGCCATAAAAGCGTACCAAACCAAACCACTCAGTGGAAACGGGCCATAAAAGCTTGATTAGCTAGTCCAGGTGTGTCTGATTGGGGTTGGAACTAAACTTTGCAGAACACTGGCCCTCCAGGACCAAGTTTGCACATGCCTGCTCTAGAGGAACGAGACAGGGCTGCCCTCTGTCCCCTCTGCTCTTTGACGTTGTCATCAAACCTCCTGTAACCAATTTAAGGAACTCAGATGGCTTGCAAGGAATTTTCAGAGAGGGACAAGAACATAAGTTTCTGCTATATGCGGATGATCTACTTTTTTCTGTCAAATCCAGATACATGCATTCCAAAAGCTCTTACAATCATTTCAGAATTTGCAAATGTTTCTTGAGACAAAGTCAATCTAGCAAAAAATCTCCTTTTCCCTTTCAATGATAGAGCACAGCAAATGTCTAC